ACTTTCACAAAGCACATACCTTGACAAGGTTTTGAAAAGGTTCAAAATGGATCAAGCAAAGAAAGGGTTCTTGCCTGTGTTACAAGGTGTGAAGTTGAGTAAGACTCAATGTCCAACCACCGCAGAAGATAGAGAGAAAATGAAAGATGTTCCCTATGCTTCAGCCATAGGCTCTATCATGTATGCAATGCTGTGTACCAGATCTGATGTGTGCCTTGCTATAAGTCTAGCAGGGAGGTACCAAAGTAATCCAGGAGTGGATCTGGACAGCGGTCAAGAACATCCTAAAATACCTAAAAAGGACTAAGGATATGTTTCTCGTATATGGAGGTGACAAAGAGCTCATCGTAAATGGTTACGTTGATGCAAGCTTTGACACTGATCCGGACGATTCTAAATCGCAAACCGGATACGTATTTTTACTAAACGGAGGAGCTGTCAGTTGGTGCAGTTCAAAACAAAGCGTCGTGGCGGGATCTACATGTGAAGCAGAGTACATAGCTGCTTCGGAAGCAGCAAATGAAGGAGTTTGGATGAAGGAGTTCATATCCGATCTAGGTGTCATACCTAGTGCATCGGGTCCAATGAAAATCTTTTGTGACAATACTGGTGCAATTGCCTTGGCAAAGGAATCCAGATTTCACAAGAGAACCAAGTACATCAAGAGACGCTTCAATTCCATTCGGGATTTAGTCCAAGTGGGAGACATAGAAATTTGCAAGATACATACGGATCTGAATGTTGCAGACCCGCTGACTAAGCCTCTTCCATGAGCAAAACATGATCAGCACCAAGACTCCATGGGTGTTAGAATCATTACTGTGTAATCTAGATTATTGACTCTAGTGCAAGTGGGAGACTAAAGAAAATATGCCCTAGAGGCAATAATAAAGTTATTGTTTATTTCCTTATATCATGATAAATGTTTATTATTCATGCTAGAATTGTATTAACCGGAAACATAATACATGTGTGAATATATAGACAAACATAGTGTCACTAGTATGCCTCTACTTGACTAGCTCGTTGATCGAAGATGGTTAAGTTTCCTAACCATAGACATGAGTTGTCATTTGATTAACGTGATCACATCATTAGGAGAATGATGTGATTGACTTGACCCATTTCGTTAGCTTAGCACTTGATCATTTAGTTTGTTGCTATTGCTTTCTTCATGACTTATACATGTTCCTATGACTATGAGATTATGCAACTCCCGTTTACCGGAGGAACACTTTGTGTGCTACCAAACGTCACAACGTAACTGGGTGATTATAAAGGTGCTCTACAGGTGTCTCTGAAGGTACTTGTTGGGTTGGCGTATTTCGAGATTAGGATTTGTCACTCCGATTGTCGGAGAGGTATCTCTAGGCCCTCTCGGTAATGCACATCACATAAGCCTTGCAAGCATTGCAACTAATAAGTTAGCTGCGAGATGATGTATTACGGAACGAGTAAAGAGACTTGCCGGTAACGAGATTGAACTAGGTATTGAGATACCGACGATCAAATCTCGGGCAAGTAACATACTGATGACAAAGGGAACAACGTATGTTGTTATGCGGTCTGACCGATAAAAGATCTTCATAGAATATGTAGGAGCCAATATGAGCATCCAGGTTCCGCTATTGGTTATTGATTGGAGACGTGTCTCGGTCATGTCTACATTGTTCTCGAACCAGTAGGGTCCACACGCTTAACGTTATGATGACAGTTTCATTATGAGTTTATATATTTTGATGTACCGAAGGTTGTTCGGAGTCCCGGATATGATCACGAACACGACGAGGAGTCTCGAAATGGTCGAGACATAAAGATTGATATATTGGGCGGCTATATTCGGACACCGGAAGTGTTTCGGGTGATTTTGGAGAAAATCGGAGTGCCGGAAGGGTTACCGGAACCCCCCGGGGAAGTATTGGGCCTTAGTGGGCCTGAGGGGAGAGAGAGGGCAGCAACCCAGGAGGTGGCGCGCCCCCTCCCATGGGGAGGCCGAATTGGACTAGGGGAGGGGGCGCGGCCCCTCTTTCCCTCTCCCTCTCTTTCCTTCCCCCTTCTCTCTTCCTAGTTGGACTAGGAAAGGGGAGTCCTACTCCTACTAGGAGGAGGACTCCCCCCTCCTTGGCGCGCCCCAAGGGCCGGGCGGCCTCTCCCCCTTGCTCCTTTATATACAGGGGCAGGGGGGCACCTCTAGACACACAAGTTGATCTTCGTGATCGTTCTCTTAGCCGTGTGCGGTGCCCCCCTCCACCATAATCCTCGATAATATTGTAGCGGTGCTTAGGTGAAGCCCTGCGATGGTAGAACATCAAGATCGTCACCACGCCGTCGTGCTGACGGAACTCTTCCCCGACACTTTGCTGGATCGGAGTCCGGGGATCGTCATCGAGCTGAACGTGTGCTAGAACTCGGAGGTGCCGTAGTTTCGGTGCTTGATCGGTCGGGCCGTGAAGACGTACGACTACATCAACCGCGTTGTGCTAACGCTTCCGCTTCCGGTCTACGAGGGCATGTAGACAACACTCTCCCCTCTCGTTGTTATGCATCATCATGATCTTGTGTGTGCGTAGGAATTTTTTTGAAATTACTACGTTCCCCAATACTAGCGTCATCGAACCTTAAGTGTGTAGACCCTACGGGCTCGGGAGTCATGCAGACATGGCCGAGACAACTCTCCGGTCAATAACCAACAGCGGGATCTGGATACCCATGTTGGTTCCCACATGCTCCACGATGATCTCATCGGATGAACCACGATGTCAAGGATTCGATCAATCCCGTATACAATTCCCTTTGTCTATCGGTACGATACTTGCCTGAGATTCGATCGTCGCTATCCCGATACCTTGTTCAATCTCGTTACCGGCAAGTCTCTTTACTCGTTCCATAACACATCATCCCGTGATCAACTCCTTGGTCACATTGTGCACATTATGATGATGTCCTACCGAGTGGGCCCAGAGATACCTCTCCGTTACACGGAGTGACAAATCCCAGTCTCGATTCGTGCCAACCCAACAGACACTTTCGGAGATACCCGTAGTGCACCTTTATAGCCACCCAGTTACGTTGTGACGTTTGGCACACCCAAAGCACTCCTACGGTATCCGGGAGTTGCACAATCTCATGGTCTAAGGAAATGATACTTGACATTAGAAAAGCTTTAGCATACGAACTACACGATCTTGTGCTAGGCTTAGGATTGGGTCTTGTCCATCACATCATTCTCCTAATGATGTGATCCCGTTATCAACGACATCCGATGTCCATGGTCAGGAAACCGTAACCATCTATTGATCAATGAGCTAGTCAACTAGAGGCTTACTAGGGACATGTTGTTGTCCATGTATCCACACATGTATCTGAGTTTCCTATCAATACAATTCTAGCATGGATAATAAACGATTATCATGAACAATGAAATATAATATAATAATAACTAATTTATTATTGCCTCTAGGGCATATTTCCAACACTCCTTCCTTCCTTGACGTGGGGTCCAAGTCCATCGGGTGGCTTTCGTTCCAAAAATAACTTCTCTAGTTGATTTTGTTCTGTTTCGACTCCGTCTGATATTCCTTTTCTTCAAAACGCTGAAATAGGCATAAAATAACAAGTCTGGGCTGGGCCTCCGGTTAATAGGTTAGTCCCGAAAGTAATATAAAAGTGGATAATAAGGCCCAATATTGCCCAAAACAGTAGATAATATAGCATGGAGCAATCAAAAATTATAGATATGTTGAAGACGTATCACCTCTGCACAAAGAAACATCAACCAAGAAGTAAAAATACAATCAAGACCGAATGTTCCTCTGAACTTGACACCAACGCTCGTCACCTACCTCTGGCGCCACCACAGCAGCCACCAAAGAAAATTTGACAGTTCACCTCCTCACCCGAGCTCGACGCGGCTTCATCGCTGATATGCAGCTTTCCGACCTCCAAGGTGGCTCACTGAAAGTGAAACCATTACCGTTGAACGAATCAAACCGGGGCAACACCCTGGTCACGCCATCTAGCGCCATATCTGACACCTTCACACGACTAAGACGTCGAAGGAGTAAACCATACCTGCCATCCACGAACCACGAATGCAGCACACGGTCCACCATCTTTCAAATGTCGTCGATGCGGACCACAATCTGCATCCGCTCCTGGACTACATCCCAACCTCCGCGTCGGCGCTGGAGTAAACACCGTCGGAACGGCGGAGCCCGAGGACACAGGTCCACCACGAGGATAACGTCGTCGCCACATCATCCTTGCTTTAATAGACTGGTTTTTAAATTCATCCCTAATCATAGGACCGATCGCCTCGTCAGGAAAGGATCTAAAGAACTTTATTCAGGCCGCCATCGTAGTCGTCGAAACCAAGACGATGAACAACCTAAAACACCCAGACTACAAAGGCCTAAAAATAATTCACACGCATGGATTCGGTGCCCCCCTCACCCTCGACCACTGAGGTCATTTGCGGAGGGGAGCCACCGAAGGGTGGCGCTGAAAGATTGGCATCCTCTGGCGGCTAGGGTTGCAGCCGCCAGGCACCCACAGGAAAGAGCGACCGCGGGTTTGCCAAGGCCGGTTTATAGATACTCTAGCGCATGCTAGCTTGCCAGCTTATCCTCCCATCGACTGACATTAATTTTGGCGATCTCACTCGTCTCAGATTAATCTTAGCCGCTACGTTAGCCAGCCGTGGGGACGGACGACCGCCACCCAACATTTCGCACGACGATTTCAATGCCAATGGCGATATGCACGTGCTTCGACGTAGTGCGTACTACCTCTGGATAACCACCGCTGTGCAACGGAAGAGCAGGATTATTAACACTGCCGTCGGGTGCCCCAGGGAGCGGCGCCGCCGCCGGGGAGCTGGAGCCAAGGTGACCAATGGGCGATACGGCGGGGCCGAATGATTGTCCGAAACGTCCGTGGTCGCTGGATCATTGCCCAAATAATTCACGACAGATCCACGATCCAGCACGCGGATATCCCACATGGCCTCGTCTCCGCCCGGTCAACCACCCCAGTTAACAATCCCCAGCGCTGATACGCTCAGGTTACAGTTACGGCGCGCATCAATACGTACACTTGGGCACCTTTTGATCGGCGGCGAGCCTATAAATTCGCACCCGCCCTGCTGCATTTTCACTCACACTGACTACTCAAACGCACAGCAAGCGCTTGCAGAGAAGCCATAGAGCTGCCCGAGATCGGTTCCAGCACCAGGCGCCGCAGGCCGCAGAACAAGTTCGAGAGCTAGAAATGGCGCCGGCTTCGTCGTTCCCGATCATCGACATGGGGCTGCTGGCCGGGGAGGAGCGACCCGCGGCCATGGACCTGCTGCATGACGCATGCGAGAACTGGGGATTCTTCCAGGTGAATACGCTGGATCATGAACGAGCTGCATGAATAGTTTCGTGCCGTTCTTGTTGACTTGTACGTTGATTTTGCTTTGCTCTTGTGTGGTGCGTGCGCGCGTGCAGGTCCTGGACCACGGCATCTCGACGGAGCTGATGGACGAGGTGGAGAAGATGACCAAGGGGCACTACAAGAGGGTGCGCGAGCAGAGGTTCCTCGAGTTCGCGAGCAAGACGCTGCAGGACGGCGGCAGGGCGGCGGAGAACCTGGACTGGGAGAGCACCTTCTTCGTGCGCCACCTCCCGGAGCCCAACATCGCCGAGATACCTGACCTCGACGACGACTACCGGCGGGTGATGAAGCAGTTCGCGTCGGAGCTGGAGAGGCTGGCGGAGCGGCTGCTGGACCTGCTCTGCGAGAACCTCGGCCTCGATAAAGGGTACCTCACGCGCGCGTTCCGGGGCTCCAACGGCGCCCCCACCTTCGGCACCAAGGTCAGCAGCTACCCGCCGTGCCCGCGCCCGGACCTCGTCAAGGGCCTCCGCGCCCACACCGACGCCGGCGGCATCATCCTGCTCTTCCAGGACGACCGCGTCGGCGGGCTCCAGCTGCTCAGGGGCGGCGAGTGGGTGGACGTGCCGCCCACGCGCCACTCCATCGTGGTCAACCTGGGCGACCAGCTGGAGGTGATCACCAACGGCAGGTACAAGAGCGTGGTCCACCGCGTGGTCGCGCAGGCCGACGGCAACCGGATGTCCATCGCCTCCTTCTACAACCCGGCTGGCGACGCGGTGATCTTCCCGGCGCCGGCGCTGGTGGAGGCGGAGGCGGCGGGCGGGGCGTACCCGAGGTTCGTGTTCGAGGACTACATGAAGCTGTACGTGCGCCACAAGTTCGAGGACAAGGAGCCCAGGTTCGAGGCCTTCAAGTCCATGGACAGCCACAGCTCCAACCTCATCGCCACCGCTTAGAACCAACAACTACGTACTACGCCCTTGCTCTGCTCTCCGAACGTGGCCTCGGTCAATGGTTGAGGACGATGGCACATAGGATGCTCCAGAGTTTGTACGTACGTACGTACTAAACCACTGGCTGCTGTTTGGTGCCGAATAAACGAGCCTGCTGGCTTGTGTGCTACGCCTAGCTAGGAGGATATGTAGGAGGAGTGTTTGTCATTTTCGCTGTGTTGTGCTGCTTCCGACCAGCATGAGAGCTGTACTGTTCTGTGTCTGTTCTTATTCCCACGGGCATCGTATCGATTGTCAATTTTAATATTTACGCGCTGCCTCCTTGTGTGAGGGTACTACAGCTTCTACCACTGCGCTGGTTGGCGCGTGTGGCAGCATCACGCCAACACGACAGCATCGCGGCGAACTGAATTTTTACTTGCCTCTTTGGCGTGCGAGAAGAGACATGCCACCACTTGTGTTATTCGAGAACATTGCCAATATTTTCTGCGTCAGGCTTGCCGATCGACCGCGTTATGTAGTGCAGTGTGCACAACGGTGCCGGAATTATTACTCTTCCCAGAGGTGGTCACCCCTTTTCTCGCGCTAAGAAAGCCTAGGGCCGTACTTCCGTACCCAAAAATGCTAAACTCACCGACATTTTACTTGCTTTTACGGGGCATAGCGTAATAGGACGGGCGTGGATGTACTGTTTGTAGTGCTTCCTTTCGCCGGACTTTGAGCATCTACAACGGCAACTCACAAATGCGCCCCCTCTATATTTCTCCGTGGACAGCAACCGGTCATCCCTGGCTTCTTCATGTCCGCAACCGTCCCTCACAAATCCATGCTATCCATGCAACGTGATCAACTTACTTAGATAGAAAAAAAAACTTACTTAGATAGAACTTGAACATAAAAATAGCAAACATATATGTTGGGGATAACAAATTTCGTCCGGACACAAAATGTTCATCATCACCTAGGTACAATAAGCATAGACGATAGATAAACTAGAAAATTTTAAATATCAAATTTCTAGTATTCTTTTGAGAAGGATGCACATTTTTCTAAATTTCAAACATTAGAACAAAGAAAAAAGAGAAGAAAAACAAAAAAAAAGGAAAGTAGATAGAGCTGTAAAAGAAAACAACGGTTTAGGAACTTCTATAAGGACCCAAAACTTGTCGTTAACCTTCCAGAAGGTTCCTAAAACCGTTCGGTGCGGTCATTTCACCTTGATTTTTAATGGGCCACACTAGTCGAGCGATCACTATAAAAACGATTGTTATCAACGATATATAGTAGTTGTGAGCATCTGCCCTCGTTTTGACTAGATCACTAATTAAGGGGCACCGCTTGCAAAGGCCACTCCACCTTTTTTAAGTGTTGACATGTGAACAAAGCATGTGCGACTCTTATTGCAACTGGGTGTTTTTTCAATAGATTTGTTTTTTCATAATGTTTTGTGTCTTGAACCGTGCATCCAAATCACAAACCGTTTTTACCGTCGGATTTCTCGCGTCGATATCTTTGAAACTGAATCTCATGTTAATAGGTTTCGATGATCTTTTTCACTAAAAACCAAACAAGGGACAAAAAACCAAATACCCAAAAGGCGGAAATAAAAAAACAAGACACAAAATAACGAAACTGAAAAGGTAGGTCTAAACAAAAAAATAGCAAGAATCTGGAAGCACAATTGTGCTTTTTTCACTTCTTTTAGAAGCACATCGCATGCTTTTCTTTTTCGGAAAGCATAGTTATGCTACTCGTGGAAATAGAGACTATGCTTTTCCTTTTTCAAGGAAGCACTATTGTTCTTCTTGTGGAAACACATATTACACTTTTTTTTTTGCGGGAAAGCACAACTGCCCTTCTGATGGAAGCACAATTGTGCTTTTCCATTTAAGTAATCACAACTGTGATCCTCGTGTAAGCACATGCTCTGTTTTTCCTTTTTCGAGAAGCACACATTATGCTTCTTAGAGAAGCACACATCGTGCTTCACGTGGAAACACATTGCTTTCTAAAAAAAAATACCTGCAAAACCTTGGAAAAATCAGACAAAAACCAAAAAAGCCAAAAAAAATCTTCTAAAATCCAAAAACGCGTATATAAAAAAGAAATGCATAGGAAGCGCCCAATACGCGATACGTGGCGACAGCTTACACACTAAAGTTTACCCTTGCGACAGACCGTTAATTAGTTGCATCCTCGTTTTGAACATTGTCTTCGGATTTTCCAACTCCGCGCATAGACGACGAGCGAGCGACCACACGCGTAGCCCCCGCCTCCCCCGCTGCGTACATGTGGGCCGACGCAACTAGCTCATGTCCGGTTTTGGAAAGGTTCTAGAACCTTCCCAAACCTGTTTATTTCTTGTTATATCTTTCAGTTTTTTCTTTTTTCCTTTTTTCCTTTATCATTTCATTTTCTTATTTTTCCTTTTTCCCTTTGAAGATTTGATGAACATCTTATGAAAACCAAGAGCATTTTTTCAGATCGGTGAACATTTCTTGAAATTTGAACATTTTTTCAAATTGCAGTGAGCATTTTTGAATTCTAGATTTGTTATTGGAATAAAAAACATATTTTTTGGCATTTTCAAGCATTTTTTAAATTCGTGAACATTTTTTGTAACTATATGAATACACAATCATTTTTTCTTGAAACCCTGAACATTTTTTGTATCCTTAAGCATTGATCATTTCCAGGACTTTTTTTCAAATCATGAACATTTTTTTGAATTCACAAACATCTTTTTGAAATCTCACAACTTTTTTGAAATCCTAGATTATTTCAATAAAGGTAAAGGAAAAAGACTGAAAACGAAAAAAAAACAAAAAAAAACAAAGTGGCTTCCCGCCCTGCTCATGGGCCAGTTTATGAGGGCGCGTTCTTTTCTTGTTTCTGTCGCGCTGGTCCCGTCATCATCTTTCCATTGGCGAGATTTACTCGAAAAAAAAACCATTGGCGATATCACCAACAAAAAAAAGGAAAAGGCTGTCACGACCAGTACAGTGGGCACCAACGAGACCAAGGGCTATGACCTTGGGGCCCCAGCAAACGGCGAAACAGGCGGGTAGGAGGAGAAGAAGACGTTGACGAGTGGGCCAGGCAGCGAGTGAGAGCGTGTGTGTGAGTTGGCCTACGTGCCGGGCAAGTATATTATGAGGCGTGCGTTAGCAAGTGAAGGTATCGAGAATTATTGTAACCGAATATTCTATCGAGAAGCTGATCTTCTCTGGCCTCCTCCTTCTCCTCCCTGCTACCTACTCCTCCTTCCCCAGATCTAGATTGGATCCATTACAGTTGGTATCAGAGGTCAGCCGACCTGGAGACGGCGTACCCCCGACCGCGCTACACCACCAAGCAGGTGCTCAAGACGGCGGCGATGGAGGAGCAACTCGCGGCGTTGATCCAGTCGGTCAAGGAGGGTCGCGCCGCCAACGACGCCAAGCTGGAGGCGATCCAGCAGTCGCTGGAGCTCTGGCGACCGGCGGTCCAGAACCTGCAAGGTCAGATCGACGAGCTCCAAACTCAAGTGGGTCGGATCGCGCTGCATCCCGTTCTCGCGGATCCGGCGGCCACCGAGGAAGAGACCGCGCGGGCGTCACCGCCTGCCGCGTCGGAGCACTCAGGACCAAGTGGCCACGGCGAGATCGACGACTCCGGGGGCTTGGTTCACGGGGTGGTCACCACCCTGGTACCGCCTCCGGTCAAGGGTGCGTTACCTTCTTCCTTCTCGGCTAATCCAGTACAAGGGGATCTGGAGTTGGTTCGTGGGTCGACGAGTGAGGGGCCGCAACATCACGCCCAGCACACGTCGCTCGCGCATTGGGCTTTGCCCAAGCTTGATTTTCCACAATTCGATGGGGATAACCCTCAATTCTGGAAAACTAAGTGCGAGAAGTATTTTGATGTCTATGGAGTCAGTAAGGATGTGTGGGTGCGGGTGGCGACCCTGCACTTCACGGGTAACGCTGCTAGATGGCTACAATTGTATGAGTCGGGGATGAAAAACATAGAGTGGGAAGGGCTGTGTGCTTCACTCTGTAGCAAATTCGGACGCGACCAATATCAGGCGCAACTCCGTCAATTTGCTCAGTTATCACAGACGGGTTCGGTGTCGGATTACATGACACAGTTTGAGGAGTTGATGCATAATCTGCTAGCTCACAATCCTGGGTTTGATCCATTGTATTTTACTACCAAGTTCTTAGATGGGTTGCGTTCAGATGTTCAATCTGGTGTAGTTTTGCACCGTCTGAAAGACCTCGATGCTGCCTATTCCTTGTCTCTGTTACAGGAGGAGCTGTTGGAAGGACAGCCACGACGCGATTATCGGCGACAGGAGCAGTCGCCGGCGCGGGGCCAGCCACGTCTGGTGCTGGCGCCACCGCCCCAGAGAGCCTTGTTGCCTGCACCACTAGCAGCAGTAGAAGATCGTCGGGGGTTGGATGGAGCCCGGGGGGCGGAACGACGGCCTGAACAACCACCGGCTCGTGGCGAGGATCGAGTTGCAGCATTGAGAAACTATCGCAGAGCCCGGGGGCTTTGTTTCAAGTGCGGGGAAAGATGGGGGCAAGGCCACCAATGTGCCCCCACTATTCAACTGCACATTGTCGAGGAACTGCTGGAACTGTTGCAGGAAGAAGAAGCTGAGTGCCAAGAGCAAAACCCTGAACCTGAGGAAGAGCAACTGATGTCTATATCTAAACTGGCCACCACAGGGCAGATGACACCGAGGACGGTACGACTGCTGGGTCACATTGATGAACAAGAGGTGCTGATATTGGTGGACTCGGGGAGCTCGCATAGCTTTATCAGTGAGGTAATTGCGGGCAAGTTTCCAGATCGTGTTCGGGCAATGGCTCCGGTGTCAGTCAAGATAGCAGATGGGGGACTGCTCTCGTGTTCAGGTTACATTCCCCAGTGCAAATGGGAGGTGCAAGGACAGGAATTCTCCACAGACTTGTGGGTGCTATCCTTAGGCTGTTATGACATGGTGATAGGTATGG